TTTTTTTTTCTATAATTCTCACTGTTTATTGAGTTTTATGGTATTTTATGTCTCCCATAGTCCCTTTAATATTACTAAGACCGTGTAAAAAACTGTAGCCATTTGCTGTAAATCCTCTCAAATGTGTTGCAGGATAACTGTGATTTAAGGGTGATGGTGAGGTGAAAATATAATGTGTAATTAATGCACACTCGGTTGTTTTGGCCTTTACAAGGATGGCTAATTGCTGATAATATTTCACATAATAATAACCCAGAAAAGAAGAACAGTAGCTCTCCGTCTAAAATGTAGAATGGCAGGTCATGGTCATATAACTTAGTATAAATTACCACTCAGTCAAGAAGAATGCTGCAGCCCTGCGTCTTACCTATTGAAGAAAGGAGAAAGTGAGAGCACAAAGTTTATTCCAAAGGGCCCCGCTCATTCCTGCACTGACAGCCGCGCTGGTGAGGCTATATGAAAACTGGTGCTCTTTGGGTGCTGCATGAATACACACCAATAGGAAAGTTGTGTTCAGTTAACCGGTGAAATCCGAGAAAAAACAGGGCAGGGCAAGTATTTCTCACCGCCAGACTCCGGCTTAATAGTCCCCCCCTCCTTCCTCTAGTTCCCTATCGTTGGACTGACAGCGCCTGAATTAACTTCGGTACACAAGATGTTGTGGTTGGGATGAAAAGGAAGGTAAACTATGACCTCTAAGCGGATCATCACGACGCAAACAACTCAATCCAAACAAAAATCAGTTCTATTTTTCAGAAGAGCATTCGCTTGTGCTTTTCTCTTCCTAAAGACACTTTAAATCACTTTGACTTCAAATCTGGAAGCCATGAAAAAAAACTAATCGTCTTTACGTTGTTGACGTTGAGCTTGATGTCCACGCAAATCTTGTTTGACAGATGCACTTCCACAGATAAATGCAAAACAACTTAAGGGAGCGAAAAGAGAAAAACATGCGAGTCTCCATTGTTGCCGCACTTGTCTCACATTCTCGTTTACTCTCATGTAAGTATCACACACAGAGATTACTCCTCGCTAAGTTCCTTTGTCTTGTGATCCATATTTGAGTTGACAGATCACGAACAAGAGCTCCCCCACTGTTAATGACCCCAGCCAGCAACAGATAGACTCACACTTCCAGCACTTTTTACTACCGCCACTCTGGCCTACATATGTTTACAGCGAGCTACAATCAGGTACTTGTTTACATTCGTCTCATTTACATGGATAAACATGTTCTAATGGAAAATCACTATAATATTTAATTAACCTTAACTCTTTTGGTTTGTCTCTGGTGTCATATCCTAGCGTCGAGTTCCTACAATATTTCTTTAACACACAGTTTGTTGCATTTATGGAGATATGTAATAAATATTCTATTTGTGTTTATAAAGTACGAGCGCAATGGACCCATCAAAGTGTGTGGGAGGCGACTGCAAAGTTTGCATCTTTAGCTGACTTTAAAAAAAAAAAACATAATTTCAAACAAACACATCGCTTTCATTTTTTTTCTCAACTAAGTTAAGTTTATATCTGCATATTTACACTGTGTTTCCAGAGCCTTGGGATAATGAACGCAACGTTGCGCAAATGAAGCCCATTCATCGCTTGTTTTGTATTCATGAGTCCCTATCTGTGGCTCCATCTCTCAGATATAGCCCTAATCCTCGTGTCCTCCTTTGCCGATAAAAATGCTCTTCAGTTTACGATTAATTTAATCTCAATCATAGCCGGGACTTGTCGCAGCCAATAAAACTTGTGGAGTGCGTAAATGGAGAGGTGGGGGGTGGGGGGGTGGTGTGATAAGGGTCTGGTGGTGCGGCTGTGCCGTGGCCCCTCGGTGCTCTTGATAGGGCCTATCTGTCTCTGGCAGGCCGATTTAAGACCCGGAATGGGTTTTAAATATGATACAGATTTTCTGCATCTGCAATCGACAGCCAGTGAGTGCGGCGGGAGATGGTTGGTTTTGTTTCAGCCAGGCAGGAAGCTGAGCCTTGCGTTTGTCTGCATTATGGCCTCGGTTATTTCAGGATCACAGGCCTATTGAGTCTTATGTCTGCATCTTTTGACACACTTGTTTTTGTCTTTTGATTGATATCCGTCTGAGGGAAACTTATGTATACAGATAGCTTTTGCTCACATTTCATCCAGTGGAGGCTGATGACATTTAAGAAGGGGGAAAAAAACATAATCCATCCGATCTACACTTTCTACAACTAAGTTTATAACAATTTAAACTTTTGTCAAACTGAATCTCAGCTTTAGCGAAGACAATTTTACTTTACAAAAATAAAACAAATATCTTAACTGTTTTTATAAGCTATGATTAATGTTAAATTAATGTTTTTGTTTATACCCGTGCCCATAGTCTCCTTTGTTAATACCCTATAGCCATTAGATTAACAAATGTAACTAGTCTAATTAGGCACTTTTTTGTATGAGAATCGTTTGCCTGGTCTCTATTCTAAATGTTTTTTTTAAAAAAGCCTCTTTTGCGTGCGCATATATACATACACCGCCCATAGAATTTTATATTTAAACTTTAAGACTTTGCACAATATTGCCAAACATCCTGGAAAAATATCTAAATATCCTTTTCCTCCGTGACAACCTAGTAGGCCTAAGAGATTTGTGTCCCACTTGTTGGAGACACTAAAGTTTCAGTTTTAGTTGGATTATTAAAATCAAAGGTCGGGGAGAAATGTGTCTCGGTGAAAGAACTGGAGGATTACACTGCTGATGTCGCTGCCGTAGCTTTTTCTGCCAATCTCCACTCTCTAAAAGTCCTGCGGTCTCCCTGAGCCAAACAGCAGCATCTGTCCTACTTTCTGTTGCTAAAGACACGACAGACAGTCGACGCGTATTGCAGAGTTGCCTGCAGTTAATACACCGCCGTATTTACATGGGGGAAACCCTCAGCGCTGCTTTAAGGAAGCAGAAATCTTTGCGCAAGTGTTTCCACCAAAACTATAGTTCCTGCAACAGTGTCCTATAGCAAATCTGCCCTAGTCTGCAGCATAATTGGTTGGGGATTTAGATGGAAAGAGACTGCAGGAGAGAAAGCCTTTTTTTGGAGGGGGAAATGGTTCTCGTCCGAGGAAGAAAAGCTCTTTTCAGCGGGCCACAATGGGAGATTGGGACAGGGGAGGAGTCCCATCGTGATTAGCCCATTTAATGGCGCGTTTACTTAATTTCTGTATTCACTAGCAACGGTAAACAAAAGGGGAAATAGCACTCACATTTTTAAGTGCTGCATGACGTTGACGTTTGCCAGAATTTGTGTAGTATACAGAGGCAGTCATATAGGGCGATTTTACCTACATCACATGGATTTGAACTATAGGGGTGTAATGATAAATTAAAGAAGGGGTAAAGTGTGATTTCTTCTGGAAAAATAAAATCTACAACATTTTAATTACAGCATTAGATTTGCGTTTTTTCATTGTAAAAGAAGCAAACAATTTACACCAATATGATGAATAGTCTTTAAAACAACTCTGCTCCGAGTAAGAAAAAGAAAAAAAGAGGTGAGTTCAGCCCGCAGCATAACCTGGTCCGGGAACGCATAAGCCACGATGAGCTTTAATGCTTCCACAATCCAATAATGACCCAATATGAACATGTGTTTAGCCACTTATCAATGCCCTTATGCGTAATCGGATGGAGAGACAGACATCATGCAAAGAGGTATAGCAAATTGAATACTGTATTTGATTTAGAAACGTATGGTACATTAACATAATAACCACGCAAGAAAGAAACATTGAATGAGCTAATGTAAATAAGCGCTTTGAGCGACCCTGGGGCGGCAGAGAGGAGAGGAGGGGGGCAGCCTGTAGACGTGAATAAATGTAGAAACAAGCTTTTACACTTTTCATATATATTTTGTTTTGCATAAGTGTGACTGGTAACATATCAACACCCCCCCCCCCCGCCCCACCCCACCCACCCACCCAAAAGTCAACCAAAAACAACAAAAACGCCTAGAGCACTTCAGTTGTAAGTTTTGACAAATATTTTATGTAGGAACACCAAGTCAAGAAAAGTGAGGAAGGGATAGAAAAGAGGATGAGACGGGGGAGAGCAATAATTATGTACAAGCATATTTCTACACGTATATTACAGACCGGGGAGAATGATCGCATTATTTGAGATATACATAATTCAATATAAAATTTTGAAAATAAAAATAAAAATCTGATACAGTCATAAACGATCCCGTTCGACATTTTTTGACCATGTACCCCACACAGGCAGTGACAGAAGTGTATTTAAAAAGGTGCTTACGACTTAAAATGATTGTCTGATGAACACAAAGTAAAAACAGGATTGCATCTTGTCTGTATGGCGGCTGCTTCGCCGTCATCAACATCATCATCATCATCACTTGGACTAAAAACGGAGATGGGTGGGAAAAAGCGACGAAGACAGCAAGACGATCTGTTTTTATTCCCTCTGATCGATGTTCCTGATGGAAAATCTTGCATTCAGGTTATTTTCCCTGATTACAAAATAAAAAAATAAAAAGACATCATGCAAGTAGTCTAGTAGTAGTAGTGGTGGTGGTGGTGGTGGTGTGGGGGTATGAAGAGGAGGGGGAGGCGTGGGTCCTTTGAAAGCGCTTTTTAATAATAAAAAAAACGACGTGCTTTTATCTCTTTTTATTTTAATATTTATATCAATCGGTCCTTTTTTCATCCGCGATATTTCATAAGTCTTTTTTTCTTCCTCTCAGGTCCATTTTCCCTGTAAATATTTCTCTTTTTGTTTGTTTTTGTGTGTTTTTTTCCTCCGTATCATACATCGCACTCCGAGTCACTGGATGTGACGGACAGGATGGACGTCCCAGTATCAACTCTCTCTGTCATACTGGAAACGCTGGTGGTCGGACTGGCCGCGGTCGAAGGCGACTCTGCCGAGCTGTGAGGGGTGAGACCGGCCTCTGAGAGGGACCTCATACCGCTCGGTCCTATTGCTTGGTGCTGGAGCCTGGAGAAGAAAAGAAGCGAGGAGGGGAGGGGAAAAAAAGAAGAAAAAAAATGAGAGAAATGGCAATTAGACCTGAGAATGTCCCCCTTCCCCTCCTCCTCCTGCAAAATAGGGGTTCAAACTCGCCTTTCTTTCCCCCTGCCGGCCCCAGCCATGCATGCATGCTTTTATCAAATAGCCAGCTTTCAGGGGACAAAACACAGCACTATTTAGACTACCAAATGTTGGAAGAAATGTAATGGGGGTTTTTTTGTTATGTTTTGTTTTGTTTTTTCCCCCTGCAAAAGTAGACATGATCAACGCGCAAGTCATCAGTATGGGATTCTAACTACGTGTCATATCACTACACAAAAAAAGCCTTAAATCCAACTTGGTGTCTTTTATAAAAGCAGTTTGATGGCATTAACAACAGTCTGTAGCTTCTTCCGGGTTTTATGCTGTTTTTAGTGACTATGTTGCATTTGCTCTACAGCTATTATTTTTTCTTCCTTGCTGCACAGTTTAGTTTATCGTATAAAGCCCCACGACTCTGCAGTTTCATAACACAAAATTTCAAATAAAATATAGGCCTTTGCACAACAGCAAAATGTCATGAGGCTTTGACACAGATGTATTTCCGTCTGATGGAAGTGGAAGTGTATGAATGAGTGACGTGGAGATCCAGGTTACTCCAATCATCCTAAATGTTTATCTCCAATCCACTCATGATAATAACTCCATCACGGCGGGATAATGTCAGGCTGGAAATATATCTATTCATTTAGCAAAAAGATTAGAATAGTGTTCATATGGCTTAGTACTCTACGAGGTATTTTCTAATCAATTATAGCATTTCAATGGAATGATACCACACTTAATGTTATGAATACAGCCTATGTCTTGAAATGTTTTTTTTAATACGCATGCCCATTTTAGTCAAGTAATATCAATAATATCTCCATTATCCTTTGAGATAATCTCTTTGAACAATGCTAAGTAACATGTGACGTTAAAATGATAAATGCACTGTAGTACATGATAAATGTAGCTACTATACGCCGTGTAGCTTAAATAAATCATTACATAGCTTTGGTAACAAACACAATAATATTTAAAATTATTTGCAAAACATGACAATTTGAACTGTATTCAAAGGTACAGAGAAAAAGTTTAACTTTTGGATAAACAGATATTAAGACTTCTCCAGTTTTATTTATTTAAAACCTTTTCCTGATTAAAAATAATTCATAAGGCTGTTTAAATTATTATCACCAAAATAATGGTTATACTTTAAATAAGTAAAGTCCAATAATGTTTATATATATAATTTTAGCACACTTTGCTATTTATTACAGTACTTTCACTTATACGGAAACGATAAACAAGCTGTTTCTATTTAAAAAGAACACTGCGCAATAACAGCCTCGTCGGTTTAACAGCAATCTAGTTTGAGATTATGTTATTATTATTTTATTATTAATAGTTATTTGAACAACAAACTTAAGTTTAAACATCAGTAGTCTTTTTTCCTATCTGATAAATCCGTATTCTGTTCAAAATACCTGCAAAGTTAATATTTCCTATCGGCTGAAAAGGTTTTAAGAAGCTCCTCTAAATGGAAAAAAAGCATGTTATATTTTTCGGACAGTTTTGGATATTTACAACAGCATAAATAGTGTTTTCGATGTTCATCCTGATTTCACTTCATAAACAAAAATGTCGCCGCAGCCTTCTCCCTCCCCCTGCCAGACAGACTCGTCTTTTTCCTAGACAGTCTCTATCCGTAAGCACAACTGCATGTTTAAGGAAAACTCCTCTTATTCTTTTGAATTTATGCATTTTAGGCAAACTTTTGCACATTCTCGTGTTTTGACAGCAAGGACAAAAATCACCAACCTGTTTTTTGCCGCCGCGGCTCTGTCTCGTTGCCTCCGGTTTTTAAACCAGTTTCCGACCTGTGTAGGAGTGAGTCCAGTGGCTTGAGCCAGTTCCCTTTTCTTGCTGGGATTTGGATATGGGTCCTGAAGGTACCACTCCCTCAGCAGGCTCCGTGTCCTCTCTTTGAAACAGTGCGTCTTCTGCTCGCCGTCCCAGATGGTCCGAGGCAGCGGAAACTTCTTCCGCACCCGGTACTTATCGACAGGTCCGAGGGGACGACCGCGGAGCTTCTCGGCCTCCTGGTAGTGCGCTTCCAGCCACATGGCCTGCAGTTTGCCGTGCGAGTCCTTGGTGAACTTGTGGTTCTCCAGGATGTGGTAGAGGTCTCTGAAATTCCCCGTGTGGAACGCCACCACGGCCCGGGCGCGCAGGATGGACTCGTGCTTGTTGATCGCCTCGCACGCTCCCGGAGCCACAGGCAGGGACCAGAGGAAGCGGCCCAGCCGTTCGATGTCCCCGGTCTCCTCCAGCGTCTCGCAGACGCTCGCCACCTGCTCCGGGGAGAAGTTGAGGGTCGGTAGCTGAAACATGGACAAGTCTTCTGGAGACCTGGTGGTGGGAGCGCTGTTCGCCAGGAGCAGAGGGCGATCAGCGAAGTTTGGCAGGAAGAAATGGGAGGGATAAAGCTCTAAAGGGGATCTGAAAACCATGGAAATGACCTGAGAGAGAAAGAAAATTATCGAGAAAAGGGAAAAACCGAAAAAACACGGCAAGTAAAAAAGATTGAATGATTCAATGGCTATCGCCTAATGACACCAGCCTCATAATATCTCCCCCCTAAATCCGCCGTTGAGTGTAGCATTGAAACATTTTGTTTCCCTTTTCTATTGGTCTTCTTGGTGTCGTTGTAGCGTTGTCATGGCAGCCCTGCCAATCACTGTCAAGCGTGCCAATCATTAGCCAGTACGTAGCGCGAGGCTTTCACCACTTGTGCAGCACGCACGGGGGGTTATCAGAGTCTCCGATCTCCACAGCAACCCTCCCACCGCACCGCGCGCATCAGGCACAAGCCAATGCTCGCCTATCTGCTGAATGGAATGAGCAATTAGAGGGTGGAATATTATTGCGATCTTAACGAGGCTCGTTAAAGCTAAAGAAGATATGTAGACTGGAGATGCTTAGTAGAGACGGGAAGGGAGGGAGGGAGGCAGAGGGAGCTTTAAAAGGGTGACAAATGGACAACCAATGACTTCAACTCCGGAATACACGTTTTGAATAGAAGCGAGTCAATTTGCACATTATTTTCGCACAGTTTTTCCTGTAGTAGCTACTTTTTATCTTTTTCATCAGTCCATTCATTTTCGTGCGAGGGGAAAAGGAAGGCGTTAGGGTCTTCTACGTTTTTCCTTTTCATATATGTTATCACTTTCCATTTTCTTGTTTTCTAAAAGATCAAATTATGACACAATCCTATAATCTTTTGGCGTTTGCCCTGGACCCGCCGATGATTTCAAGAATTGCATGTTTGCAATTTTATGACATGGTCTGAGCATGACTTTACTCGGGCTCGCTGGTGTGTGGTCACTTTGTGTTTGGTGGGTGCTGGTCCGGGTGTAGGCTGCAGTGTGATGCCGCTCCCCCTCCTGCTGTCCCCGTCCCTGTCTCCGGGACGCTGGGCGCAGCCCTGGCCCCCTGCCCGCTGCCTCCTCTCCAACCAACTAAATTTATTGTTCCAAATGAATATCGATGCGCAGCGTTGTGTTGATTAAACAAAGGTCATGGCGTTTCAGTTCGAAAACTAATTTGTCAATGGCATCGCCCTTTTAATGCCACCAGTTTATCACGGGTTTTTGTGATAGTGCAGCCCTCTAATTAATACCATTAGTATTGGAATTACAATCAAATGGCAACATGAAAGCTTCTTGGGGACATAAAAGCAGTTTTCATGTATTTGATCTAGTGGTAAGGACATGATCAATGTCCACATCCAGTCACAGGATTCGGCTTAGAGCAGTAGCCACGGCGGTGTGATTTTCATGTTTATGGCTAAAACGGCTTCATATTTAGACAGGGCTTATAGGGTGTTAAAATAGTGTGAGTTCACTCTAACACGAACAGTACTCACATTGTGAAAGGGCCGTGTACAAGGCGTAGCATCTAGACTCCGCTTAATCCGCCCTCAATAAAGCTGACATAATGATCCTAAGCCGCCTTTCTACAAAATCATTCAGGAATTCAAAACTTTTCCTTCCCTCTCCCAGATTTGCACATTCTCCGGGGTTGGCCAGATAGACCACCGACTTCAAGCTTGGAGGGACAGTGAGTAGACCAGCTCGACATGCATGTGTGGTCAATGCTACCTGTTTCTGTGCACCATTTCACCTTAACTGACATACTTTAATAACGACAGGTGCGAGCGTGCAATTACGCACGTCCGCGCACTTTTACGCACCGCTGTTTTGGGCAAAAAGGCGGGGTGCTTTGAGTCCTGCATGTACGTCCGTGCACGCGTGTTGTGCAAGTGTCTGTCGGTGTGTGTGATACAGAGCAGGGGTTGTGGTGATCTTGTTGCAGGGTCAGGCGTTTGGTTTGTGCGCGTCTGTTGGGATTGTATGCGTGTGTGTGCGTGCGTGCGTGCGTGCGTGCGTGCGTGCGTGCGTGCGTGCGTGTGTGTGTGTGTGTGTGTGTGTGAGGGGGTAGGGTGATATATGGGATCAAACCTGTCCACTGCGCTGCTATACGAACCTCAGGAGAACTAATTCCAAGTGGCACTTGAATTGGTCCCGTTGGAAAGCTCTGTGGACTGGAAGTAAAGAATGGTATTTTCATGCTGGTGTTAAAACTAACCTCCTAACCCTCCCCTAACTAGCCCCCCCGACCCCACCCCATCACACCCTACCCCACACACACAAGCACACACACGCACGCACGACCCCAACATTAAGTTGATAGTGCAGGCTTAGCAGCACTACTCCGAATATGCAAAGCCTCCTACCTGCCTGGGTTTCCTGGTGCACCAATTTAGGTGATCACCATTCAAGCCAGGGCTGCAGGTATTATCCAGCATTATGTTTTGGAGGAGCCTTGTTTGGGAGTAGCCCTCGCAGGCAATTCGGAAATCACTCCTAGGAGAGACTAGAGGTGAAATGTAAAACCTGAATGGGGATTGAGAGGGAAAAAGCCATTGGTAATTCACATTCTTTTACATGGCTTTTGTTTACGTTAAGCATGTAATTAACACCCCCCAAACAAGTTTATTCACCTGCCCTAATTGTGTGTTTATCCGAGGGCTTGCTGAATGTTCCGAGCAGCGGGGGACGAGAGCTCTGAAAGCACATCGAGCATTTAGCGTCTTCTCCGTTTACTTACAGCCTAAACCTCCAGACACGACAACACAAACAGCATTTTGCACACTAAAACATTGATAATATATTGGTCAAGTAGACAGAGAGGGCTTTGCGCCGACACGTCTCTTCCTATGATTTTATTGCTGTTGATTGTTTAGTTATAAAGCACCTTTTTAAAGTTTAATTAGAAAACTTAACATAAATAAAGTTAGTTTTTGCCTTGTTAAAGAAATATGGGTCCGGCAGCTCTTTCAGGGCGCAGTGAATCTAAAATGTTACCATTCTGGTTAATTGCCAATTAGTAAGTTATTTTCATTATCAGTGTGTTCCAATAAGGGCAGCAAATAAACAAAGCTGATGTTACGTCATGTACGGGAGTGAGAGAGAGAGAGAAGGGACCTGATGAGAGAAAGAAAGAAAAAGGTGTTGACTGTAAAAGGTAAGAAGGGAAAGTGAAAGAAGGCACGAAAGAAAGGGTCTTGTTTTATTTTTTTGCTCCCTCGTTGACCCCGGTTTGGCAGAGGCTGGCCAGAAAAAGGCAGCACACCCCTCCCTGGCAAAGACAGGACAGACTCATGTGCCGGCTGCTTCATCCTGGATTCATCTCAACAATACACAGGACGAGACTCTGGAGTAATGACGGGTACGTACCAAAAACATAACGTTTTTCATTTTCGTTACTCCTTTAAACTAAGTTGCCTATTTATATGCACGAACAAGCACGCGGTTGTTTACGAACGTATGATAACTTTTAATTATCATTCACATGTCAAGAAATTGATGACATTTTATTTTGGTGACATGGAAATTCAACGCAGGTGTTTTTACTTCACCAGATCAGGAATTACCTTTTTCTTCTTTTCGCTCTTGTTTTTCTCCTCGCTCTGCAGAGCTGTGAGCAGGGTCCAGTCCACGGACTGTCACCATTCGAGCTTGGGACTGGACGTGACACTGGTTCACTGCTATTTCACTGGTCAGTTTGTCCGAGATCAGGATGGGAATCCAACCGCTGCACCTCTGTAAGTTCAGTCTAAGCAGACCCGTTTTTCCGTCTTCTGTTGCCGATAATGTTCGGCAAACTACAACTAATTTTATTTTTCGGACGCTTTAAAAAAAAAAAAATGAAATGATGTAGATAAGCTCATTGGGCCTTTCTAGTTGGAATGAGGAGGTTAATCAAATTTCTTCTTTTAGATCGCGAAAGTCCGTTTTTAATTGGGTGTGTTTGGCTTTTTTTTTATCCACCGAGCACTGGGGAGATCTGTGCCTTTGCAGAGCAGCTGTGTGATGCTGTCGGGATGGGGCGCACAATCCCCTCTGTCCCACGCTGGCCATGCCAGGGTACGGAGACTGTGCCTACACTGTAAAAAGTATCAAAACAAGTCATTTAGTGTCGCGCTGAGTTTTGAAAATATATGCTGCTTGCTGGAAAAGATGTGAAACCCCTGGCAACGGGATATAATATAATTTGTTTCCATTACAACTTTTTTTATGACAATTTTTTTTAGCAAGTTTCTTAATTGTAGTGGAGAAATATCATATATAATCTGTTTTGCTTTAAGATGCTAACAAAATTCCTGCAATGCGTAAATTTTGCCACTGGAAGAATTTCCCCGCGTTTGGGGAAAATATGATAAAATTAGGATTGAAGTGATTGGATATTTTTTGCAGTGCATTCTCTTCTTCTCTCATATAAAACCTATGCCCTGCTTCTGTGGCAATGTTATATTATTTTTCCTTTTCAAATCTTTATATGCTTAAAAATACGTATGCCATTTCGCACGTGATTTACTTGATTGGATGACCTCAAGCGCCAAAACAATTAAATCGCTTACACCTTAAAACTGGAAACAGTTGTCAGCTTAGGCTAGTACTTGTGATGGCAGGTGCAATATAGGTCACCCTCCATGCACGTTCAGAGAAGGATAAACACAACAGTGCCTTAATTTGAAATCAAATCCATTTTGTCATAATGATCTTTAAATGTGGCGCCAACTTTAATAGCAAAGCTTGTACAAAAGTTTTTAACACCTCTCTCTCTCTCTCTCTCTCTCTCTCTCTCTCTCTCTCTCTCTCTCTTTTCTTTTATTGTTTTTATTGTGTGGTCTCATTAGGGGGACTTCCTGGCAGGGCTGGGAGCTTGTATCGGAGCTGTCCAATCAGTGTATTTACACGGGTTGTTAGCGACAGTTAATGAGGGCTCCTCCCCGGGCCGGTAGAGAAAGGCGCCTCAACATTAAGATTTACCTTGTGTCAACTCGTTACTTCTAATGAACCTCCATGCAAAAGCCTCCTCGTACTCAATGGAGCCGTGCGCCCGGATCTTGTGTGTGAGACCCTGGAAGAGTGGAGCTGCGAGCCGGCCTCCCTCTCCCCCTTTTCTTCCGCTCACTCAGGGAGAGTTGCTTTTTCTCTGCAGGTCCGGGCTCCATGATGCATGCCTGCGTGTCTGCGTGCGTGTGTGTGTGTGTGTGTGTGTGTGTGTGTGTGTGTGTGTGTGTGTGTGTGTGTGTGTGTGTGTGTGTGTGCGTGTGTGTGTGTGTGTTTGTGTGTGTCGAATGAAGATGGATGTTGCATAGCCTATTTTTAAAGGAATTAGACGTTGGCAACTCAGGCATCACTTTTCTTTAATAACGGCAAAAACACACATGGTTACACTGCGCTTTAAATTAGCACATTGTATCCTACAGACTATCAGGTCGAATGTGTTGAAAATGACAGTGTTTTTAAAATTTGATGTCTCGTCATCACTAACAGTGTGATCAGATTCCGGACAAAACAGAACGAGGAGTGTGTTTGCGTGCCCCTATCACAAACCTGGCATGTCTTCCATTGTTTGGTGAATGAGGCTTGAAATGTCAGCTTATTGCCTCTGCAGAAGTAAGTTCATTTACAATCACACTCTATCCCCCTCCAGAGCAGCGAGCTCAGCTCTGGCCCCTCCGTCCACCCCTCGTCTGGCCCCCAGTGTGGCTTGTTGAGCCGCATCAGCAACACATCACTGCCCCTCAATTCAGGTACAAACTGGAGGAGTTTGGCGGATCCCTGAAGTGGACTCCCCTCTTACTCCTCTAACCCACAGAGACACCACTTAAAAATCAATTAGGCTCGTCTGGTCTCTCCCTCACCGCCTGTCATCATTTCCGAAACAGGTGGCTTCCACCAAAATTTGGGGAGGGACCTAAAAGTAAAATCCAACTTAAGTTCATTATTTCATTTTGACTTGGGGCCCAGTTATGAATGAGTTGACAGCCCTTCTGAATGGAGTCCACTGCCTTAATGAGGTCGTTCACATACGTTTGGTAGCTTATTATTTGATATATATTCTATATTATAAAATAAAAGCGACCCACTACCTGACAGAATATAGGCCTCGCTTTGTCTCTTCTCAAGCTGTGATTTGGGAACTTATTTTATTTTGTAGCTTCTATATTTTATTGTCTCTTGAGCTGACAGGACCTTTTATGCTTACTCTGTCACACAACACAATATGTTTGCACACGATAATGGGATTTACCTTCGCTTGTAAAAAGAAATCTACATCCACCAGCAGGTGACAAAGTGGCCACAACCATACTCACGGTTGTTGGCACTTTGTCACCTGCGGGTGATAGTGACAGAAAAACAGTTTCATATCCCTGATATATATGTAGAGGCCTATGAAAACTGTTTCATTTCATCAGTCATACAGACTATTTCTTCATGCCGGTAACTCTATATCAAGTGTGCATTTTCTCATGTCTTTCATCATCAGTTTAACCGCAGTCACCTGGTCCCCCGTGTTAAAGAGCTGCAGCAATATGACACGGAGCAGCAGCGCTGGAGGAGGCCGTATGTTCACTCTTCCAGGTAGATGGCTTGATTTGGAGACAGAGGCACAGAGGGAGAAATATCAGATGCATTGCCCCAAGCTTTACACATCACGCTCACCTTCCAATCCCCGATGACTTTTTTGAAGAGCAAAACAAGACCTTCTCCACCTTCTCAGCTCAGCTATTACAGTACGCAGCCCTTGAAGAATCATTGTGTATCAGTCATTCATCTGCATGTGTGGGCCTAAAAAGTGCACTCGGGACTCTAGAGAGCTAACACGATGGCCAGAGTTACATCAGCACAAATTATGACAGAATGTCTCTAGGAAAATATGACTGTTTTGGACTTCACTGTCAAGGCTGATTAAGCGCCCCGGCTCTTAGATGCAGATAGGAGCTGTAGAGATGGCCCTTAAGCCCGGTGTCACAGGAGCTGACAAGCCGTAATTACTCTGGCTGACATATCGCTCTCAAAGCTTACTAATGTGGATCCCACAGACAGCATGCATACAGTGGAGGCCGCTCAACTCTTTGGCCAGGCAGTGCCTTTTAACCCGGGTTCAGATGCTGCTGGGCCGTCCACACGCTCCACAACTGACCTTTTCCATTTTAACATTTCAGTAGTGAAATAGCCTCTTATTTATAAGCTAGTGATATGGTAGAGGAGATCATAAGGCTGTGTGTGAAAGAAAACAGCATGCTGTAACACGCAGACGTAAGACGAACAGTAAAGCAGTAGTGAAAAGTAACTAAGTACGTATGGGATTACTTGAGTACTAGATACTTGTGCTTCTACTCCACTCTACTTTAGAGGATGATATTGTATATTTTACTCCACTACAGTTATCATCCACAGTTACTACTCTACAGATGAATAGTTTACATACAAATTACAATCTTATAAATATTATATTACAGAAGACTTGTATAAAGTTGTGATATTATCTTTACCTTGACCAACTACATTCAAAATGTTCCTTACATGTTAATGAATCACAGTTAATATTTCAATAATATTTTATATGAAACAACACACACTGAAAAGGTCAATGCGCATAATTAGTACTTTTGATACTTAAAGTAAAGTAGAAGTTCCTCAGAATTAAGTATTGTACTTAAATGTAAATGTAAATGTAAATGATGCATGTAAATGTAGCCTACCTGCTTAATTACTTCCTACTGCTGGTGTAATGAGTTTACCTCAAGGAAGGAGTCTCCCCAACTGCAGCTCACTTTAGAACAGTTTATCTCTTATAGTATCTTTATGATTTTTAAATATGTTTAGCCTGCTGGAAGAAGTACACAGACGATTTACTTGATATGTCACGTTGTAAAAAATACTCCATTTCAAGTGAAAGTCTTGCATTCATAATTGTACTTCAGTAAAGTACAATTATTATAATTCTTAATCATTATTAACTTATTCTCTATCATTCTTATTATTCTTATTTCTTATTTCAGAAATATTGTACTTTTTACTCCACTTCTATTTTTAGTAATAGTTCATATAAAACAAAACACACTGAAAAGGGCCATTCTGCATAATAAGTAGGCCTACTACATACATATAATAAGTATAATAATAAGTTAAATATTTTAAGTGCATTTTGTTGATAATACTTCAGTACTACAACTTTGCATGCAAGACTTACTTGTAATGAGGAGTATTTGTATTATTGCTTCTACTTAAGTAAATTGCTTGAATGCTTTTTCCAGCAGGCTCAAATATTAAACAAAGATATGATAAAATATCCTGAAGTAGACAGCTACACGCTTTTAGGGGGTCTCCTCTCCACTTCAGTGGTGGAAAGTAGGAAATACTTAAGCACACTTTTGAGGAATTTGTACTTTACTTGAGAATTTCCATTTTATGCTTTATATTCTTTATATTCTTTATATTCACAATAATATCACACTTTTTACTACTTTTTGACACATTTAGGTGTGCTAGGTTCAGATTTAAGATACAAAACACTTCAACAACAGTAAAATATAATGCAGTTTTATAGATTAAACTGCCCAGCATCATATAAAGTAAAAACACCCTGAAATTGGCCATTCTGCATATTAGTACTTTTATTTTTGATACTTAGAGCACATTATCCTGATAATAAATATATACATACAATTATGTATGCCGAGCTTTTACTTGTAACAGAGTACTTAAGTAAAGGATCCGAGTACCAACAATTAATACTGTAGAATCAGAAAGTGCTTACACCTGTAGTGGCTGCTTGTTACAATCACTTAACTCACAACAAACACAACGTCTATCTCTCTCAGCGGTAAATGCTTTCATTAAAGCTTTATTTTGTAATCGACTAAAGTGAGTTATCTATAGATCCATATCGATATGTGCACCTCTCTCTCTCTCTCTCTCTCTCTCTCTCTCTCTCTCTCTCTCTCTCTCTCTCTCTCGTGTGTGTGTGTGTGTGTGTGTGTGTGTGTGTGTGTGTGTGTGTGTGTCTGTATGTCTATGTGAAGGTTATAGTCACCGTGTCACCCACAATCCTGTCATTGTCTCACATTTTGTTTGTTGCGGTGTTTGCATGGCACGCAATGAACGAAACCGACGTCACAGTCTCTCTCTCTTTCTCTCTCTCTCTCTCTCTCTCTCTCTCTCTCTCTCTGCCCCCTCCTGACTGCAGCTTTTGACATTACTCCACTCGATTGCCCGTTTACCCCCAAGTCAAGTTTGAGACGGGCAAGAAGTGTAAAAGAGGTGGGCCATGTCATATCCGCTCAGTGTGCATGAGATTGTTGGCCTGCTCAGCTGTGATCATTGTTCAGGAGAACAATTCCTGCACAGAGCAGGCAGGAAGGCAGCATATCAGAAAAAGTGGAAGAATAGTTGCAAACAGAGTCTGGTTGGACAGTTTTTTTGTTTTCTCTGCAGCACTTGCCATATGGATTTATCGTGTAGGCCTACAGTTATTGTAGGCTATCTATTTGGGGGGGGGGGTGCTATAGATGAATGCATTATACACTTACATTTTCTACTACTGTCTTTAATTAAAACTATTTGCCCTACTTTAATATTGATTATGTGTAGGACTTGGAAGATATTAAGTCAAATGCATTAAGGTTAACTTGCGCTGCCACTTAATACCACCTTTATAGGCTACAAAACACTGTTCTTGACACTGTCTGTGAAAGATAAATAAAATTTCCACAAGAAAAACTAGAAAAATCCTTGAAAGATATTTTTAATACAGGCTGTACAGGCTATATTTATTTAGCTCTTAAATTATAAAATCACAGTAACGTTATTCCAGTGTGCGGTGGTCAATTCTGATGTCTTACATGGTCCTCATGGTCCTGCGACCTAACAGCACCTGACTGTTGGTGGCAGTACTACTATATTTATTTACATATTTAACAAATAGCCTATGTATGTAGCCCATAAACTGTTACGTTTGTGTTTACTTTATGTACAGTTATTTTTTATAGGCGTCCCAAAAATATCCTTTCAGGGTTGTTTTGCTGCTAGGCTATTTTAGGCTCAATGCATTTCTGGTGCATAATCTGAAACACAGGTAAAGTCAGGGCGATTTGTCGTCAGTCCGAACAGTAGAAAGTGCTTCTGATTCTTCAGCATTCTCCATGTAGCCCACAGTGCGCTAACCTGAATTATTATTTGAGAGCACTCAAAAAAACAAGATAATAAAAGAGAAATAACATGACTATTTTCATAATTGATTAAGAAGCCTGCGCTTATTGTTTGAAGTAGTAGTAGCTAAGTAGAGGGGTTGCTAGGCAACACATTGGCACCGACGTTGTCCTGGTTTTCTGCGCACTTCGGTTTGCGCAATCTCAGGTGGGTTTTCATAGAATACGTCACAGCGGCTTATGCCCAGCAGCCAATCAGAGGTGAGTACCGGAACTAACCGTCGTATAACAGGCTAGTAATTAGCTTACGGGATAATAACGGAGGGATGTGGCGGCGGAGGAGCTGGTTACTCATGGGTGAGCAGCGCCCGTCCAATCTCATTCATGTCATGCATCTCCGTTTGGCTCGCCAGATCAATAGCGGACGTCTGGGAGAGCGGGGGGGGAAGCTGCTGTACAGGAAATGGAAGGAAAGGTGCAACAAGTCAACAGCAGTTTGACCCATGCAGCAGGTCTACACAAAATTAAGCGCCACATAGAAACGATGCCCTCTGGCAGCAGTTTGTTTGGTTTTAAATAACAAAAGTAAGTGCAAGGATCGGCAGATAAAGGCTATTTATTCCATTATTGGTTCTGAGACGCTCAGATTTGGCGGAATTTTGCAAAATAGCAATGATAACAATGCATTATTATTATTATTATTATTATTAATGTTATAAAATGTTATAATTATTTAATTAATATTTATTTTTATTTTTTTAAATAGTAGCCTTGTATTCTTCAAAGCCATAAGACAGTGATATTTGTTAATACAAAGAACTATATTATATGTGTGTGTATATATATATATATATATATATATATATATTTGGGAAAAACTAAACAACAAAACTAAAGTTGGATTAATGAAGTAAGTTGTTATTTAAATTTGATCCACGTCATTGTCTAAAAGGAGAAAAAAGATGGTTACATTTTTTAAAATTTCTCTTCGTCTGTCTTTGTCGACCGAGACTCAACAGACCTATTTCAATAGTTTTTTCTAATCCTGCAGCTTAAAATCTTATTATTTCCTGGTTGCTTGTGGAGGGGTATCTCGCCTCAATACAGTGCTGATTGGCTTACAGTATCAGTAGTTTGTATCAAGTTAGATACGCTCACTACGCACACCCACTCCCTGCAATTGAAACCATAATGTTTTCGTACACATGGGGCTCATACACACACTGCTGAAACCACTGAAGCCTGCATGTAACCAGCCACGTCCAGTCTTCACACGCAAATACAAAAAAAGACCCGAAGTGATGCTCAAAACAAACTCACAAATATAGACTTGACCTATATCCGTCCCGCTATATGTCACATTGAAATATTTCAGCTTTATTATTGTAAATGTTCATTCATTATTCAGGTCCTATTTATTAGCTTTGGATGGCAGATGTCAGAGCGTGATAGAGATGTTTATGTTTGACTGATTTAAGGAGCCATTATCCCGCCTGCTTATCAAACATTCATGTGTGGCAGCTGTAGTTGTGGATCTGCTCTCCATCGTGTCTCCTGTGGCCGCTTCATTTCTCCTCTTTAAGCAACCGCGACCTTTCCACTCAGTTAACCTATTATCTTTTAACATTTAAGGGACAGCTCAGCCACTGCAGTGGGGGAAAAAATCTAATCTAATAACATTATCTTTAAAGTAACTAAAATGTGCTATATAATGACACTTTAAACTATTTCTAGGAGGCAGGGTTGCTGTTGCACAAACATTATAGGCAAATTAGACGAATATTACTGTGATCCTTCCTTGAGAGGATCGATTCAATTGACACAATGAGTCTTTACAGCTAATAAACACATTCGTACAGATCTAATAAAATGATCTTGCAGCATTTATTTCTAGTGTGACCTGAGCTAGCTATTAAATGCAGCATTTATACATAAATAAAAAAAATTAGCAGAGTTAATAGTTTACAGAGTTTTAATGTGACTTTTTGTTGTTAAAAAGAAAAACGAAAATTCAAACCATTTTTATCCTGAATCGTTCCTCAGCTATAGGTTATTGATACTTATGAGCATGCCATATAAGAGTTTTGTTTTAATATTTGAGCAATACTGAAGTTAATCTTTTATCAGGCCATTTTCTTTGATATCCATATAATAATAGGTGATTTTCTGTGATGGGCTGTGTGTTGTATTATCCTAAAACCTAGAATAAGTGAAGACATTACTCTTTAACATATTTTTTTGTTTGTTTTTATGTACTAGAGTGAATTTTATCAGTTTATTTGTCAGTGTTTTACTTGCTTTTATCCTCCCAATCCAAAGAGATAAATGAGAAAATAACGTAACTTTTACACTTTAACATTGGGCAACATTTCTGTTTTTCACAGGCAAAACAGATCAGTGTAGCCTTTATGCTGCAACATATTTTCTCTCCCTGTTGACTGGACTGCTGAACACACCATCCAGCGTCCATGCGTTTTTGTAATTGCCCTGTGAACACGTTGGTTTTCATTCTTTTGACCCCTCCATGAACAGCACGCCGCCGCCCCCGCCGCCCCCACTGCCCCCCCTCTTCCAAACAGCCCCACACAATGCTACGTGTGCGTGTGCGTGTGCGCTCTGCGGTTCGTGGGCTAAATGTCGTGCAGAGGTAATGGGAAGTAGTCGGAAGGTAAGGTCGCGGGTTCACGGCGGGGTTAAAGAGAGCCGTCCATGGCTGCTGTTTGCTTTTTTTTCCACAACTCCGCTTCCTTCCTACAGGAGGATGTGTCCAGTATGCCACCGTCCTCACCCCGCAACAACCCCGCCACCGCTCAGACCGTGTTTGTTTTTGTGCGTTTATTAAATCTTCCCCCGGCAGGAAAGCGACCCATATCACCACGTCACTGGGTGCTGGTGAGTTTAGCACTTTGCATCCCTCCTCGGCTCCCTGAGAAATCTTTTGTGGAAGTCTGGTGTCTATTTATATGCTCACATGTAGGCTGACTGTTCAAGGCTGTTGCAGTCCATCCAGCTTTTTTTCAAGGTTATACTTTCAATCATTTTACAAATTTTATAATTATATATATATATATATATATTTTTAATCCAAAACACAGTCATATAAATATCACAGGCAAGAGATTAATAATCCTAAACCATCAAGCACATCATTTCATAATTTAATTTAAGTATTTTTACTTACTTTAAAATGTTTGATCATTTCTTTTATTATCCGAAAGAAGTCAGTGAACTCTGCATTGATTAACAAAATGCCACATAAGCCCCTTTGCATCAAGGTTTTGATGAACCCACAGTATAAAGCATATTTAAGTGATCTAAGTTATTTAAAGGAAATAGAAGTTATTTTTTGTGGAGATTATTATTATCTCATTAGGGATAACTGCCTGCAGGTCAGGTGGGTTATCCACCATATAATTGCCCCTGCATCATTGTTCAGGCCTTTAACCATTTTACCGGGTTTTGCTCTAATGTAATAAGAATTACATTATGGAAATTGTGTCTCTATCATGTGATGTAGATTACTCCTTTAAGAAACCAAGTTAAATACTAATCATTAAAGGCTTACATTCTTCAATGTAAAAAAAACGTTTTTATTGTATTAGCTATTCTATTTTATGCAGGTGTTATATGAAGCTTACTTTATAGCTTGTTTTAGCATATTAAGTTTAGGAGTGGGAGCTTTAATTTAAACATACATTTGTTTTTCTATAATGAGAAAAATATTTAAGATTATACTGCAATTACGTATTCTCTTACACATTTGTTTAAAGAAAAACAATAAAACTTGGTGTCACTTTTACTTTTAAACTCAGAAACTGATATAAGGCTGGAAAAAGAATTGTGTGTAACTCAATAATTGACATGGAACACACACACACACACACACACACACACATATGAGAAAAGAGGACATGGAGGATATGACCTATAATTTCATTTCTCATCATATGTAAAGCCAGCTGACTCCATTATAAACTAATGGCTTTACATATTCCATTTGTATAAAAAAAAAACAACGGCACTTGAATGAAAAAGCTATTTTAGGTCTTGTGATATTGAGTGATATTGTTATGAAAAACACTAGTACTGTGTGTTTCCCTTTTTGTTTAAATAAGGCTGCTAGTAACTCATTATGATATCATTACAATCTGTAACACAACATCATGCAAAAAAGATGACTGGTTACAACCTAAAGTAAGTGTTATGCAACTGTGTCTTGTGTTCAAATATTTTCTGAAAGAAACATAACAGTGTTATATGGTTTCCTACATGGAAGAGGACCCCAAGGATTAAGCATGCAGAAAGTCACAGCTTTACAGAGGACAACAACATATGAGTGAAAGAACCCAGACAAAACTACCACTCACTCTGTCCTTTCAGTCAGGCAAGAAACGATGGACGGAAGGATAACAGGATGTACAACAGAGGATACAAATTGAAAACGATTAAGAAATAGAAATCGAGAGAGAAAGAATGGAGAAGTCATATATCTTCAAAGCAGGTGATTGAGATTCACCTGACAGAAACAACAGAAAGGGAGAGTAACGGCGTGGGGCTTTGCATTGGCATCGAGGCAGCCTGTTTTTGTTGTCACCTTCCCTCTGTTTCCGTCTCACTCTCTCAGTGTCTCTCATCCTCTCCCTTTCTCTTTGTGTCCATATAGAGACATCTATACTGGAGACAGGAGAGAGAGAGAGAGAGAGAGAGAGGGAGAGAGAAATTTTGGTCGTCTGCCTATCTCCTCCTCACCATGGCGCCCCTGAGACCAAGCAAGCAAGGAGAGAACACATACACATACACACTTTTAGCCGCCACAGAGGAGAACAGCTTGGCTCTGTGTTACACTGAAAACCCCTCTTTTCCCTCAATCAGACAGACAGGTAGACAGCTGGGTGTTACGCTAAATCCCTCCCCCCATGTGTCCCTCCTAACAAGGGCTCCGCTCTTACTGTCACTTCTCTCTTTCTGCAGCTCTCTTTATTTCAATGCCCCGTGCTTAAAAGCGAGAGAAAAGCGTCAGGTTTGGGAAACATATAACTATGATATGATTGTAAAATGCTGAGCAGTTTATGAATAGTTTAGAGGAGATGTTACGGTTTAAAAATTGCAGGACTTGTTGACAGAAACAGACATTTAAGACACTGAAAATGAAACATAGTGTCTCCAACAGAAGTGTTATCTGTCCCTCTCTTGTCTCTCTCCACCCTGACCCCAAGTTCACTCCTTCTAAGCACCACTTCACCCCCAAGCCCACATTTTGTGTCTGTGTATGTGTGCTGAGAGCGTTTTGATTTCCTGTGTGTGTGATAGAGAGAGATGAGAGAGGATGATGGTCAGGCTTGGCCTACTGACTCATCCACAGAGAGAACTGTGTTGATACAGGAATGAAGCCATCACACACTTATACACACTCCCCCACACACACAAGCTGACAGCCTCTTCCCATCAGTCTTTTGTTGTGCTTGCCAGTGATGATGATCTCACCACATAGCAGGACTAAGCCTCAATAGTCAGCCAGTCAGTCAGTTTGGCAGGCAGACAGGCAGCCAGTCAATATGCCCATCAGTCATTCAGCCAACCAGCCAGTCCGTTAGCAGCAGCTAATTATCAAAAGTTGAGCAGGTAGTTAGCTATTAAATGAGATGATATCATCCCAGCACTGGTGGAAAGTAACTAAGTACTTTTACTCAAACACTATACTACAGTTTCGTAGTACTTGTACTTTACTTGAGTATTATTATTTCCTGCTCAATACATCTACTCGGAGGGAAATATTGTACTTTTACTCCACTATATTTATAGTTAGTTTTCAGATGAAGATTTTGTCCAACAGTGTGTATGTTTATAAAACACAACACATTGTTAAAAATTGGTTCCTGATATTTTTGGCTTGTGACCATTTACAAAAAATCTGTTTGTAGTTTGGGCCCTTGACAACTGTCAGATGTCCTTGAGAACACCTTCCATAAGGTGTAATTTAAATAATTGCTTGAGGTCCAGAGAGGTAATCCTCCTGCCCCATTTATTATCTCATGACCTCTCAGATTTATCTTGTCACTATTGGACGGACCCACTCTGAAATAATTAAATCTAGCTACAACTGTAAAAAGTTGCTTACACATTGATGCATTATTAGCAATCTAATGATGTCATATATAATAATATACCACTCAAAGAGGACATTTTTGCCCCAAATACTTTGCAAGTACTTTTACTTTTGATTCCTTAGAAAATGAGTAGGATTTAGTAGTTCAAGATTACAACTCCCTCGCCTCACCCTCCTGTTCCAAGTCTGTAGGAGAAACTATGGTAGCCATGAAACTTGTGAAACACGCAAAGGGCACTATCGATAGCCGGTGTTTGGTTTGTCCATTCTGGACTACTGTAGAAACATAGCAGTTCAACATTGCGGCCTCCATAGAAGAGGACCTGCTCTGCTGTAGATGAAAACGGCTCATTCTAAGGTAAGGAAAGCACAACAATTCTTATTTACTTATTATTATTATTATTCTTTATTATACACTAATGAAAAAACACTTACTTTGCATTTCTGCTTATAGATGCTCCTAATGTTAAACACTGGACCTTTAAGAAGAAGTAAATTAAAAACAATTATTATTTTTCTTCGGATTCTCCTTATTTAAAAATCAAGAGATAAATCTTGCCGCATAGGTTCAAATACAAATTCTAATAGCCACCTCAAGACAATAACAAAGTCTGCTATTACTGAGAATCAGAACATTCAAGCCCAGACAAGATTCAGAAAAAACTATCCACCCTTTTATTTCCAGCAGGTTGAACTCAAACAGTCTTTTTTCAGGTCTCCCCAAAAAGCCTCTCAGGCTGCAACTGATCCTAACAAAGACAAAGAAAACTGAACATGTGTTTGAAGTACTTCTGCTTGTCTGGAAATCTCTGCATGATTAAAGACCAAAAAACAAATTTTTTCAGTAGCTTTGATGATATACACCCTTTTGCTCTCTCGGGTCATCAGGTAGTGGTGTGTTAACTATTCACACAAACAAAGCCAAACACAGGAAGTAGCATAGTTATTCTGCACAGAACCTGTACACACTTCAGGAGTTACAAGATTGAACCTCTGATCTGTAAAAATGGATTTTAAAAATATTTGTGTTTATTATTGATTCTTAAGCAACTCAGACCACTCATGCATTACATCCTGATCTCACCCTTATTTATTTGTGTGTTCATCCCTTAATAAGTTTAATTAAATCTATTTATTTGTATCTATCCTTATAATAAATAATTTAAATGTGTTGTACTGTATTTCTTATTTGTTGTCTGTATGACATATGCAAAACGCTTTGAATTACCTTTGTGTATGAAATGTGCCATATGAATAAACTTTATTTGCATTGCCTTCAAGTAGACCGTTCAGTGCTTTGTTTTATTTCCTCAGTAAGAAAGTAAATCATGAAAGTTTTGTTTACTCTGAGGATTAAATCCTTTTACAAGACTCAGATTGTGCTGGGTAAAATGTCAAACAAACTCACAAACTGGAAATACCTGATGTGTTTTAAATAATATGATGGTGGCACAGGTTTAGATTTCAGGTCATGGAGCTGGTGGAGTAAAAGAGAAAACACTCCATCTTCAAACTGGTTGTGATGGGATGGAAAGAATATGCCAATCTATGAGCCTTAAATCATAAGAAACCACAAAATACACTCAATCAGTATGTCAACCATCAACTCAAATCTATAAGCTTTTGTAATTTAAACCAGTGAAATTGAGTTCCTGAAAAACAAAAATGTTCCTTCCTAGTTTTCATTCAAAGCTGCCAGACAATCAACTGTTGGGAGAGATTAAAGAAAAGAAACAGTCTCCATTGTTGGCATCTGTAAAAAGACACTCTGCACACACCATAGAAACCTGAGAAACAGAATAATGTGGTTTAATCAATTGTTTACCAGATAGAAGCTGTGTCGTTACCTATCTAACACTACCTGTCTGATTGAGTTTCACTTCCTCCGGCTTTCCCACAACTCTAGTTTGAAAAAAGAGAGAGCAGACTAAAATTAAAAAAAGGATATTTATTAATTTATTTAGCTATTTAAAAGTAGAGTCTGGCGTTGATATGCAAGCGGTGTGCCTGATGAGCATGAACAAAACAGAGTGCTGGAGTTGGAATATTCTAAGAACAACTGTATCCGTTGTTGTGCTAATCCTAAATGAAATATGTATTCAGTAAAAGGATTAGGGCGTCCAGTGTCATAAAAGAAACCACTTACCAGCACCAAAGGTAATTTGTAACCTTAGCAACTGCTTGTGGAAATGAATGGGGGATTAGGATTGGCTGCAGCCAGAGTTGTCCTCATGCGGTAAAAAACGACCTACACACACACACACACACACACACACACACACACACACATACACACACATGCATGCACACACACATGCACACAACAATATTTGTTAATACTAAATTCAAGCATACTGAGCACATATGCAAGCATAAAAGCATTGGAAAAGTTGAGCACAGACACAAAAGGAGTTAAAAAAAGGTCAAATAAGAGCGAGGAAAACAACAGGACTAAGTATTGTATAAGTGAAAGGGAAGTAGAAAAAGAAGTGGGAACATTAAGAAAACCAAACTATTTATATATATATGTTATTTTTTTATTTTTATTTTCTTTTATTATCAAAGCAAGACCTCAAGCAACAGGTCAAAGGATCTGTTATCAGTATAATGGTAAAGCTGAAGCATGCCTTGAGATGGAGCACTCCTAACCACTACTAACTGTTATTGGTTTGCTTTGTCTATATTTGACATATTAAAGACAACTGGTTTCTATGTGTGTGTGTGTGTGTGTGTGTGTGTGTGCGTGCGTGTGTGCGCGCGTGCATGCATGCATTGTGTGTGTGTGTGTGTGTGTGTGTGTGTGTGTGTGTGTGTGTGTGTGTGTGTGTGTGTGCATGCGCGTGCGTCTGTGTGTGTGCGTGTGAAGGGTTAACCCATGTCATGTGTGACAGTTCTCAGGATGCAGAGGCGTCAGCCCTACCTCAAAGTTCTCACATTACACTTAATGATGTCTACTCTTACTTGAACAGACAAGTGTGTTTGTGTGTGTGTGTGTGTGTGTGTGTGTGTGTGTGTGTGTGTGTGTGTGTGTGTGTGTGTGTGTGTGTGTGTGTGTGTGTGTACGTGTGTGTACAGAAAGAGAAAGGCAAACAGGCAGGCAGAAACATACCATAAATACATTCATAGGTCGAAGCATACGCAGATAGACACACAGATGAGGAGATAAGTTCAACGAGGAGAGAGAAAGAGAAGGGAAGCAGGAGAGGGATCATGTTCTAAATAGCCACTTCTGTCTAGTTGCATTACCTTGTTGGAGGCATCTCAAATAGCTAATTGCTTAACCATGTGGAAGTGACAATAGCCCAACCTTGTTCTCATCTGTTCTTTCTCCCTGCCTTAATCCCTCTGTCGTTTTATGTATTGCTTCTCTGTACATGTGTACATGCATTTGTTTTTCTCTCACTTCATGTGACTCATCATCTTCCTTATCTTACCTCATACCTTCTTACTTTCTGTCACTCCCTCCTTGAGTCTGGGGAAGCTATTAAAGTGGTGGCAAATGGCTTCTTGGGTGACATTTGCTGACATTCAAGGAAGTGCATTTATCAGTGTACTACAGTTCACCTTGGTGAATGAAATCCATTTGTGCCGCTGAGATGGCCTGGTGGCCTCTCTCTCTCTCTCTCTCTCTCTCTCTCTCTCTCTCTCTCTCTCTCTCTCTCTCTCTCCCCCTCTCTCTCTGTCTCTTCTCTCTCTCTCTCTCTCTCTCTCTCTCTCTCTCTCTCTCTCTCTCTCCATCCCTGTCCCTAAATGGATGCCCAGTGTACAGGGAAATGGCAAGGTGGCGCACCGCTTCGCAGCTGCTCTCAAATGTCACGCTGAAGAAAAAATCTTTAATGGGCTAAGTGTAGCCTTTCCAGCCCTAACTTGTCAGGTAATCAGAAATCTCTCTCTCACTCTCTCTGTCTCTCTCCTCACCCACCTTTTCCTCGTTCCCCAGCTCCCCAGGGCCATGACACGCCACTAATTACCTGTTATACCAATCGGAGAGTGGGATGGCATGAAAGAGGAAGACTGCTTTTAAGACAGGAGGATATATCTCATCCTCCTCCCCATCGCCTTCATTCAGGCAGGCTGCATATTTTTAGCCTGGTTATGATTTTTCTTTTCTTTTTATTATTAAGCCAAGGCATAACTCCGTGGCACTGGAGTCACCTGGAACATGACACCTCTTTTTATAAGTGGGTGATTTTCATGTAACTGAGGGGATTTCTTTCACTATGCCTGCAGGAACCAGTGTTAACCTCTTACAGATTGTCACTGGTTCTCTCAAGATTACATTACATTACATTAAGGCAGAACACACGACTTGGAGTGTAAACAAATCCCCCAACTATCTTGTCACTGCATCAGCCATGACCACATATTGTACAAAAAGAGTGAAATAATGGTAAGAAAATTGTAAAGAAAACTGTAAGAAAAATATACAGTGGGCAAAAATTAACTATGTTAAAATATGAGGCTTGCTTAAAGCTGCACTAATCTATATTTTCATGTTAACAATGAGTCAAATCACTACCTGTAATATGAAAAGAGTATTGTATTGACAAATCCGCAGATAATTATCACTCGGCTCTGAAATCCCCTCAGCTCTGCAGAGCTTTCTAGCATCTACTGTTTTAGTTGAGTCTCAGGATTGTTTCCAGACTCAGCAGGCAACTGTTTTCAGCCAAAAAGCTCTTATAAACCCCATGTATACATCTGCTCAGCAATAGACAAAGTTAGCAAGTAGCTGGTGGTGCCACATTTAGGAGATAAAGAAGCTAATCTTTCCCTCAGGAAATCAAAAAGGAGCTATTGAAAAAGAAATGAGAGAGAATACTGGACTTACATTTGTTGGGTGTTCAGAAATATGACACAAAATGAAAGCTAATGTTTGTTCGTCTCCTGGGTGTGTAAATAGGCAACTGCTTGTTGACATGTTCGCCATAGCAGCTTTATAAGCTGATAAGTCAATGATGTGTTTACAGTTTGTTATGCTTGATAGTGCCGTTTTACAAAAACAAAAATTGAAGGTCCATAGAGTTTGATCTTTTTTCATTGGAGAAGTCTCAAGTGGACCTTGAGTTTAATTTTTTTTTTTTTTTTTGTCAAGTTAGTTGTTTAACTATGGGTAATATCCTCTTGATAGGTACTTCCTTGGATAAAAGTATTATTTTTATTATTATTATATATTTTGGAAAATACCATTTAAACTCAACTGTTTCACATTGCCATCTAATTAAGAGTTTTAACACTTTGCAGTAAACATCATGTGTTTCATTATTTAAAAAAAAAACTCGCCTAAAGGTAAGTAACTTACAGTTTACATTTATGTCCCAGCTAAATGACAAACATGGAAATGATAGGGAAATTTAATGTGACATGTATTCCTGGCAGAGATTTCCATTTCTCCCTGTGGGTGTCAGGTGATTGACAGTAAGCAGTGTCATGTGAATTACACACTGGTACGGAAACACTCAACTCACACACAGCGAAATAACAATACAACAAAAGCAATGGTCGGAATAACTGAAAGCTTTTTAAGTTGTTTTCCGTACTGTGCATAAATGAATAGCTCCAAATGGCTTCTTTTGAAAGAACAAGGCTGGTGTTTCTAACTGATCTTTAATCACCTCTTTATGTAACATCTTTTGAAAGCAGTTAGCTAAATGAAAAGTACTACAGCGCAGTCTGAGGAAGTAAATCTAAATAGTAACAATTAAGAAGGATGAACGTCCTCATTTGGACAAAGTGTACATCAGCCTTTATTTTGTCAAAACACCTATGGATCAGCAGGAACTGGAGAGCTAATCACAGCACCGTGAGAAAAATAAGAGATATATATAGTTAGATTATAGTTTATTATGAGAACAACATTGTTATTGTTCTTTTATGATGGAAGTTCTCTGTTTTTTGTTCCCATTATGGGAAAAAATCACTTCTTTTGTGATATAGTCTCTTTTTGTTGACAGGCTGTGCACTCACGCGACACCACAATGTTTACATGCATATGTGTTGTGATTAAAATGCTAATGCCTGGAGAGGTGCTGCTCTCCAAAGTGCTTTGTGCTGGACAATTGCCCCGGTCAGTGCGGTGAGACAGGCAGGGGAAGGTTGATTGTGGCAGAGGTGTGGAGGCCATGAAGCTAACACATCCATTCCACCAGACCCATTCACACGTGTACACACACACATACGTGTATACACACATGGACATGTTCAGATAGGCAAGTAAGAACACACAGCACGAATAGAAACAGGTACAGGCACTCACACCCATACCACAGCTTGCCTGCTGGCA